GATGTATTAGCATGTGGTTTTCGGTGATAGTGGGGGTGTCTTTACTCATCCGTTAGGTCTTTGTCATAATTAAGGGTTTTTAAGATAACACCTGTCTGTCCATTGCGTAAATTAAGCCTTGCCTAACCTAGCCTATCATCTCAAGTTAACTACCATCAAGTTATAACTCAAGACCCACCACTTGAACGATAGTAAACACGATGACCCTCAGAGGTGGAGGAGGACCGTGGGAGGTGGAGACCATGGAGGTACCCGCTCGTGGGTCTTGAGGCGTAATGAGCACAACTGTGTGAGTAGTAAAGCTGTCGGGACCGAGGGAGATGTAGGAGGCTGTCGGGTGTAGATTATAAAGGAAACGGGGTTGGGGATAGGGGAGATGGTGGTGTTGGAAGGTTTTGGAGGAGGTGTGTGTGTTGCAGGGGGAGAGGTATTGGAAGGCTTGGAGCGTGCTGGAGGATCTTGTTGGAGACAGAAACGAGGGGAAGGAGTGTGTGGTAGAGAGCGGTGTTGATGGATGGAGAGAGATATAGGTAAATAGAGAGAGAAAGAGAGAGAGTGTGTGTTTTATCAAGCAAATTTTGGGAGGTGGGCCAAGTTTTGTGATTAAGACTGATGATGGTGTCAACTGCAGGGGAGAGAGAGAGAGAGAGAGATTTTATGACATGGATATCAAATTCTCGTGTCTTAAGTTCTTCTTCCTCCTCCTACCCACTCTTCCTCCTTTTCCTTCTCCCTCTTCTACCAACGCCTCCTCCTCCTCCCGTTCTCCCTTCACCCTCTCCTTCATTAGCGACCTCCTCCTCTCGCTCACGGGGGAAAGTGGTCACCAGTTACCCGGAATTAACTCGCGAAAGATTAAGCGAAAATAGTGAGGAAATTTTCGCTTCCTGGATAACAAGAATACACTTCATTTTGACCTGACCTGGCCTGTCCTGATAACCTGACCTGACCTTACAACCTAACCTAACCTGACGCTACCAGACACAGAAAGGTCATAACAAAGTAACAAAACATAAACTAAATGCCCGAATGTCAAGGTCAAGTTGGGTCACATTAGGTTGGGTACTATAATTATAAGGAACATACATCCAGATAACTTATGATTCTCCTTACAAAAATACACAACTATACACACCCTAAAACAGTATCTTTACAGAGGTGTCCGATGAATTTCAAAATAAACTGCGACTCCTGTTTTCTCGTTAGGTTTGTCAAAATCCTTCGTCCACTGTGTTATATTGTCTAACCTTTTGGAGCGTGTTACAATATATCAGTATATGTCCATAAGTATACAGAGGACCCACACTGCTCGTCCTCCTGTGGTTCTGAGTTCGACCCCCCTACCAAGTCTTGTTGAGCGCCTCGGGGACATCCTGTGTCGCGTGTGTCAGGATTAGTGTAGTGACCCCTGCTTGTTGTGGCGTGAATGTTCGGTTTCTCTCTCACTCACTCGTTCGTTTGTTCGTTCTTTGTTGTCTGTGTGTGTGTATGTCCTGATTATCTTATTGTCCCCCATTTCCTTCTTCTCCCTCACCATCATCCCCTCTCCCTCACCAGCACCACCTCTCCCTCACCACCACCACCTCTCCCTCACCACCACCACCTCTCCCTCACCACCACCGCAGCCTCGTCTGACCTAGTGACCGCTGTCCTTACCATCCCGCCTTGACCTGTGTGATAAATTCAATATTACTGAACGGAATATCAAGTTTAGGTGTTTTTGAGAGAGAGAGAGAGAGTCCAGAAATGTACGAGGAGGGAAGAGAGAGTGAGGTCTCTCTCTCTCTCTCTCTCTCTCTCTCTCTCTCTCTCTCTCATTAATGTGGTACTCTCCTGAAAGTCATTTAAACTCGTGTCGTCAACTCACACAGTCAACATCAGGACTTGCAGGGAGCTCATTCGGGCCCCCTAGTCTTAATGGGCCCCTAGTGTTAATGGGCCCCTCGTCTTAATGGGCCCCTAGTCCTAATAGACCCCTCGTCTTAATGGGCCTCCTTGTCGTAATGTGGCCCCAATTCTAATGGGGCTCAGTGCAAATACAACTGAACCAAATCTATTCTAATCTAACCAGACCTTACGTACTTCAGATTTAATTAGGTAGAGGTGAATATGTAAATTCTCAGTGTGTAACATTTTTAGGTCGGAGGTCAAAGGGTCAGGTCACAAAAATGTGAATTAATAAGTCGATGTTTTGCTTAATATGATCACCGTATGGGACAGGAACATTTAATTTATACATACATGCATCCGACTATCATATTGTTACAACCGATCAAACTTAATTCACTTTGTATCTTCCTCAGTAATTAACAAACTCCATTTTGACCCCAGTTACATTAACCCCACCCCACTGCCATTCCCGTCACACCACCCTCCCAATACCACCAATTACGTCACGCTCTGCCTCACCACCTCTCACCCTAGCCTGTAAAAATTAATTGATCGTGTAACAGTAAAGAGTCGAGTCTTTGACAGTTCCCCCCCCCCCTGTAATCCATTTAACCCGCATTTGTACCTCTGTTGTATTACCATTAACATATTTATAAAGAAAAATATATAACCTTGGAACAAAAACATGGGAGAGTATCTAATCTGCCTCTTGTTTATTTAACATTTTTTCTTATATTTTTTCTTATATTATTGTCAATGTAGAGTTTTTGTATAGTTAATAGAATAGCGATGTTATGATTTATAAAAACTGTGGAGCTGTAGCTTAATGGTAATGTGAACAATAACACGACTTGCTACGTCTACAAATGTTAATCAATTTTAATCAATTTATTCTTTCTCGGTACGAACACAGACTTCTATAAAGGTTTCGTTATAAGAAGGTTGCTCCGTAAAACATTATTTATATCCTCTTCACAAGACTTTAATGTATCTGCAGAAATTCATGATATTTACCCAAAAACCTGTTACTGTATTGTGTTATATGTGTGAAATGATTTTACCTGTACCTATACTGTATATATGACAGTATTTTGTGGGGTAAAAATTGTGAATTCGAGATTATGAATTTGTATTTGTCACGGGAGGGAAATTCCGAATATATTACATCGTGTTAGGCGGGCACATAAACAAGTGAGCCTCGCTATAAACATGTGTTCCCACCCATGCAAGAGAGAGGGAATATGAAAAAGTGGGAGTGCTGTATATATTTTATTTTTTTTTTTATTTTTTTCATTAGCCCAATAAAGCACGCGGACTTCTACATATAATCAACACCTCACCCCGCCAGGATTTGAACCCACGACTGTGACCGGGGGAACACTACCTCTTGACCACCAGGACACTAAAATCAGTCCTAGACTTTGTTATATTTCACACAAAGCCTGTTCAACGAGCTTATGGCGCCGTGAACCTCTAATGGGGACTACCCGTATCACTTAAGTGGTCAGAGTAACGTTTTACCAAATCCGGCTTCGAAACACTAGGATCCATATATATTTCATTAGCCCATTAGCGGGGTGAGGTGTTGATTATATGTAGAAGTCCGCGTGCTTTATATATATATCCCAAAGAATATTCACATTTATTCCACTCCGTTTGATGATACGAATATCCGATGACAAAATACTCGGTAATAGGCTTGGTATTCTCACCTAATACAGATATTTCAGTTTGAAAGAACATGCACCGTCACCCAACCTGTATGCCCAAAAATTTACCAAATACAGTATAACCAAGAATTATCCCAATGTAGCCAAGAATTAACCAAAATATCCAAGAATTAATTCAAATAGCTAAGGAACAACAAATAATATCAAGAAATAACAAAATTGCTCACAAGAGAGAGAGAGCTTCCCTACAGAGGAAGTCCACTCTAAATGGGTGTGTTCACTGTGTGTTGTATAGTCCCAGGAGACTCTACTCCCCTGGCTCGTGTACCTAATGGAGTTTTCTTTCTCCATCACTATCTGCACTATCCTCACCATCACTGTATACACCACCTCCTTCAGCATCCTCACCAACACTATCTTCAACATCATCATCATTATCACAATCTAAGTCATCAACAAAACCCATCATCACCATCACTATCTTCACCACCTTCACCATCTACATTATATCATCTTCACCAACACCATATACTAGCACCAATGTAATAGAATCTTCACCATCAGCATGTCACCGTATTCTCATGTATTACTAAAGGGTGAAGTACTATCATCATCATCATCGTTAATCATCTATGAGATCCCAGCATAGTCATTATCACCACCACCACCAACTTAACACCACTACCATCACCTCCAACACATCCCACCACCACTACCTTCACCTCCAACACATCCCACCACCACCAACATCACCACCACACCATCATCTACAGGCAGCTCTCGTCCCTTCCCTCCTCCCAGATAGCCCCCAAGGAACCTTATTCTGCTGCCGTAAGAACAGAGAGCATCATTATGTTCCCCTAAACACAAGCAGGGTATATGGCCTCCCCAGCACCTTACACAGTGGTTGGTGTCCTTTATTACGGCCCTTTGTCACCTAACAATGAGTCGTGCAAATAAGGTAGCATGAACGTACCTTAATATGTAAGGTTCACTCAGTTTTATTTACCCCCCTGAGGCTAAGCAATAGATTACCGCCGGAAGCTGACTGATCTCCGGGGAGCCATTAATAAACAGGTGTTTTCGGTGTGGTTTATTTAAGAGCAAGATTTAGGCTACTGTCGTGATTGATGTCCCCCTCACACACACACACTCTGTTTCTTTAGTAACATTAAAGTTAACCAATGGGTTGGTGTTAGCCTGTGTAGTATTTGTTTGATTGAATCATTTATACTTAAGCCTGTAAGTGTGTACTGTATGTTCCTATAGTCTGCATTGTAAACAGTGTTGTGATGGTAGTGGGTATTATGAATTTATAGCAAGAATTTTTGGCCATTTTTTAAAGTCATGTGTGACAGCTTATGTTATTTCTGCATTGAGGATGTTCTTTTAAAAGCACCTCAATATTTACATATTTCTAACATGAGTAATGTATTTCAGGTGGGTCGGTTTAGCGTCGAGTTGGGTGAGCATCTCCAGCCAGTCGTCAGTATGTCTTGTGTCAGCATCATCAGCGTAGCCCCGGCATCATGGTGGTGCTGTGTGGTCGCCTCGAGGTGGTGGTAGTGGAGGCGTGTAACCTCCCTAACCTCGACCAGAACGTTCTGCGTCCGGAGGACAAGAGCGACCCTTACTGTCTCATCGAGGTGCAGACTGGTAGTGGTGGACTCTTTAAGATAGGCAAAACATTCACCATAGATGATTGTCTCAACCCAAAGTGGTATTTTAAAGTAGCTGCTGACGTTAGTCAAGACGTAGCAGGGTTGAGATTTACAGTGAAAGACAGAGACTTGCTATCATCAGAAACTATTGGAAGCTGTATTCTCCCAGTGCACACTTTTGTAGACAGCTCATCATCTCAAAAAGCTGAACTTCCCCTAGTAAATGTTAAAGGCTTTCAGGCTGGTACCCTTAAAGTAGCAGCATCGTTTACTCCAACAACAAACCAAACGGATCCAAGTTTTGGAGACCGCGCGTGGACCAAGGCCAGTGAACTTAAAGAGCGTATGACAAGAAAAATCCCCAGGTACGGTGACACAACTGATTACGTAAACTCATTTGGCGACATGGCGTTCCTCCACGGTGTATTAGACCTGAAACTGGCGTGTGCCAACAACCTGCCCAATCTGGACAGCTCTATCCTCAGCATCAGCAAGAAGGATGTGTCAGATCCTTTCGTTGTGGTGAGTTTGGAGGATGTTGATGGGGAACCCTGGAAAGTTGCCACCACCCAGGTCATCGACAATGACCTCAGCCCAGTTTGGGACGAGAACTTCCGAGTGGATGTTTGTCACGATGTGTCATCCATTACCTTCACTGTACGGGACAAGGATTTTATCTCATCAGAGCAGATAGGATCCGTCTCATTTCCAGTGAATACCTTGACAATGGAGAATGGCGTGAGTGGCACCTATGACCTCCTGCGGGAAAACAAGAACAAAAGAGCTGGAACTATTACCCTGTCTGTGATTTATCAACCCAAACATGCTGTTCAACACTCGTATGAAGTACCAGATTGTCTCTTCCCCCTCCGTAAAGACAACGAAGTGAGGCTTTACCAAGATACCCACTGCCCATCCCTTCCGCTTAGTCTCACCGACAACTACGGCAACCCTTACCTGCCACGCAGTACCTGGAAGGATATTTACACCACCATCATGGAAGCCACTCAGTTCATCTACATTGTTGGCTGGAGTGTGAGTGCCAAAATTGCTCTACTGAGAGAGGATGGGGAAGACAATCGCCCCCTTGGTGAGATGTTAAAGCAGAAAGCTTTTGAAGGTGTACGAGTTCGCCTTCTCTTGTGGGATGAGATAACTTCAAATGACTTGCGTAAAACTGGTGCAATGAGCACTGAGGATGAAGAGACTTTAAATTTCTTTAGGGGAACTCCTGTTGTGGTTGTGCTGGCTCCCCGGGACCGTCACTCAAAGGACATGTTCTCCACCAAGACAACCTTCACATCATTGTGCTACACTCACCATCAGAAGTGTGTCATTGCTGATGCACCAATAGAAGAGATGCCAGGTAAGAAAAAGGTGGTCGCTTTTGTTGGAGGCCTGGACCTGACAGGTGGCCGGTACGACTCTCCTCGTCACCCGCTGTTTAGCACGCTTGTCCGAGAACACAAGAATGACTTCCGAAATCGCGTGTTTCCTACTCTCACCAGTGCCAGTGGTCCACGCGAGCCCTGGCATGATATTCACTCTCGTGTGGAAGGCCCTGCTGCTCACGACGTCTTGATGAACTTCTTACAGCGATGGCGTAAACAAGCAGCAGATCACATGGAGTCCATTATCCCTCTAAATCAGATGGATGGCATCGTCATGGACTACACGTCAACCGCCCCTGACCGCTGGAATGTCCAAATATTCCGTTCGATCAACTCTGACTCAGCTGAGTTTGATTGGTCAACTGTTACGGGACTAACCAAGAAGAAGGGCCGTGCATTTGACAACAGCCTTCATCGTGCTTACATCCACAACATCAGACGGGCACGGCGCTGCATCTACATCGAGAATCAGTATTTCATAGGAAGCAGTCACATGTGGCCTGAGTGCCGTGATGCCAAGGCCGGTAATCTTGTACCCTTGGAGATTGCCACCAAGATTGAAGAGAAGATCAAGGACGGGGAGCGCTTTGTTGCCTACATCTGTATCCCAATGTTCCCTGAGGGTAAACCAGCGGACAAGGTGAGATTTTTTTCCCCTGTGGACACTTTATTAAGTTCACTTCAGTTGTGTATCATGGACACAAATATAACAATTTAAAACCTCTCCCTTGAGTGTGGGTAAATGCTGATTTTGAATGCATACATATTTTAATCAGTGATGCAGGATGTCATTGAGAAGAAAACAGGAACTCATTAAAGAGTTCCTGTTCCTGATATAATCATTGTCAAATAATGTATAGGTCCTAGAAGTTACTGACACTGCTATACAGCATTTCAACCACAGTGTAATATGTGTTAAAGCAAAATAGTTTTCATGGTTGGTCATTGTATGCGCAGGAATTAGGTTTTAATGATATTGCAGCGACTTTAAATTAGGCATGTTTCTTAAAGAATTTAAGACGTACAACTTAGTGAGCAGAATTAAACCAAAATCCATCATGTTGCAGGTGACACAGGAGATCCTTCACTGGCAGCTGCGCACCATGCAGATGATGTACAGCCGTGTGGCAGCAGCCATCAAGCAGGCCGGAATTGACGCCCATCCTCAAGACTATCTTCTTTTCCTGTGTTTGGGCAAGAAGGAATCTCCCGAGGCTGTCCCCTCAGAGCTCGTGGCTCCAGAAGACCCCTCAATGACTTTGGCCTTTGCTAACCGTCGCCTCATGATCTACGTTCACTCAAAAATGGCCATTTTTGATGACGAATACATCATTGTAGGCTCTGCTAACATCAACGACCGTTCGCTGAGTGGCAACCGTGACACCGAGATTGCAACTGGCTCTTACCAGCCCATGCATACTGGATCAGGCAATACTCTTGCTCAAGGAGATGTAAGTATGTTCCGCCGCTCATTGTGGGCCGAGCACTTGGGTGAAGAGGCACCGGTAGATGCTGATCCAAGCTCTGTTGAATGTGTGAGAACCGTGCATTCACTGGCCGAACAATCCCTCCGTGTCTATCTTGAACCTGGTGATACCCCAACACCGCGGAACATGTTGTTATACCCCCTTCAGATAAATTCAGACGGAACAGTGACCCCTCGTCCTGAATGCCCCATCTTCCCAGATGCAGGGGGAAGTGTTATGGGAGCCAGGTCCAAAGTATTCCCCAGCACCCTTACTACTTGAGTATACTTCAAAATCAAACCTTTTGTGACAATACAAGTGGTTATCAAGCTTATCCTAGTTCAAGATTATTATTTTTAATTGCTGTCATGATCCATACCATTTTACAAACCCATCTTTTAGATTCCAAGAACTTTGTTTTTACCATTTTTATGACCATAAGAATTTATTGACTGTAGTTTGTTTACCTTAATATTTATCAGTACCATCAGGAGCAGCCAATCATGAAAACTTTTACCGGATTTCCAATGTTATTTACCATTCAGATTTCTCACACGTGTAACATTTACTCAGTTTACAGATCTGCAAAAATAACCCTAAATATATTTAATATATAGACTGTAAGGGTTAGAATATTGGAATTAAATTCACTGTAATTACCTGAAGATAAGATTCTGACATAAGGGCATACAGTAAGTGAGAATCTTTGGAGTGTGTTGGTATTATTCTCCTTCAGAAGATAATCCATTCGTGTGTATATAGTGTAAGCAGAACAGTGGCTGAACATCTACGTGGGTTCAGCGACCTCTGCCTACAGCATCAGCATGACGGGCTGCCCGCTGATAATGTTCTACAAGTACTTGGAGATAAATAAACAATGGATCAAAGGCTTGTATTTAAATGTCTGTTTATTATAATTAATTACATCTCCCAAATGTTATAATTTCTTCCGAGTTCTTCTTTGTGATGAAATATGACCATCCCAGTTGTGACGTACCTGCTGACTGTCACTCCCCATCAATCTTTGGTGTGACCCTCCTCAACTCCCTTAGTGTAGTCCAGCCATATCCTGTCCACTACAGATAATAGTCAAGTTGCTTAGTTGCATGTAAGAATATCAACTCCAATGCTGCAGCACAGGTCCAAGTTCTTAAGTAATGCTCATCGTTAACAATCGAGATATTAGGTCATCTAGAAGCTTTCATGTACCGCAGTGAATGGAACAGCGAAGCTGCTTTAAAAATTTGGGCCCCTTGTGTCGTGTCTGTGTTGAATAGTTTTACATGTTTCTTTCTCTGGCATCTTGTTTACTTACTTGTGTGAGATCCGAGGCAATGGTGGAATGATCACACTGGTTTACTTCACTGTGGATGAGGACTATTGCCTTGTAATATTATTCCCTTTTTGTCCTAAGAGTAACAAAGATGAATTCAGCAGATAATAATTTTTAACTTAAGCTAATTCACAAGTGCATTTAAAAGCAGTGAATTTCATTGCACAATACATCTTAGAACAGCCATGATGTCAGTTCAGACAATGAAACTGAACAAATCTTGTAATAAGGAATATTGATGTACACACAATTGGTGATTGTCTAAGATGTAGGTGTGAGTGAGACTGGTTGACAGTATTGGTGAAGAGCGTGTAGATCAATCTGTTGGTGATGGTTACGTTACGCTAGTAAAGACAGTTGGTATAAGGAATATTGATGTACACACAATTGGTGATTGTCTAAGATGTAGGTGTGAGTGAGACTGGTTGACAGTATTGGTGAAGAGCGTGTAGATCAATCTGTTGGTGATGGTTACGTTACGCTAGTAAAGACAGTTGGTATAAGTGTACAGTTTTATGTGGTGCACAGTACTGGAATTTATGTCATCAATATTTTTTCGTAATGGAACCTTCATTTTGATGACAGTTTGGTCTCATATTCAATATTAGTTTGTGACTGTCAGAAACTCTTATTTTATTTTCACTTTTACTACAGTATATACAGTACTGTACTCTTATTATTTTTTGTATGTAATCTAATTTTATATTTTTAGAGTTAAAGTTAAAACAAAAGATGAATGAATTGTTATGTTAATCTAAAACTGAGAGATAGTAACAGACAGCTTTATTTTCTAATGAGAATATCAAGCCTTTCACCACAAACTCTTTGACTGTAAAATGTGTTAGGACAGACTTATAGAGGAAGACGGTCGATCACCAATACTGTATCTAAGGGATTTTGTCGGGCTGATAGGTTGTCAGAGATGATGTGTTTATAGAGGTCAAGATATATTTTATTATAAATCAATCTAGCACTCCAGTTTTAACCTTTCACTACATTATTACTCGTACCACTTCAGCTGACGTCAGGAACTTGTGTGCGGTGATGGAAATATATATATATATATTAAGACCATTGTAAAGAGATAATAAAGACATTGTAGCAAGGTATTTGTTAGGACCATTCACTGTTCTCATCTCGTTAAGAAATTTTTCACGTGAGGCTAAGTTACTCATCTGCATTTCTTGATTATAATGTATACTTGGCCTTGTATCCTGTGTCAGTTATATTAGTCTAAAAGAGAATAATTGTTTTACCAGGTTAGAGTATTGTATGTGGTGTAATGCCTAAATCAGACATATATTTTGCTACTGTACTTGTATGTTACAATCATTAACTCAGTTCAGTAATGTATGAAGTGTGATGAACTGTGAAGTATTGTGGTAATTTCTTATCAACACCAGATGCAAAATGTTCAATGTAAACTGTCAACAGTCCACTAAACCTTTTAATTTATTTCAGACAAATCGTATCAACTTAACCTAATCTAACCTGACCTAACCAAAACTACCCTTTGGTGGTTAGAGTAGGTCAGGTTATTTTGGATTATTGACATTTGCTTTAGAATAATAATGGGCATGACACATTCAATCAACATGCCAAATCAAGATAGAGGTGTTGGTAAAAAAATAAGGTTTTGTAGTCATGTTTTGGGTATTTTTCAACATGTGGTATTTTTCTCACAATAATAATAATGCATAATGTAAAACAATGGCCAACTCGGACACCTGACAACAAAGCATAAGTCATGAAGCATAATATAACCAATACATTATGGTACACTTTGTTGGAGAGTAAATATTGTAATGCATAATTTACTTAGAACTACAGTAAGTCCGCACTTAAAGTGGTGGTTCCGATCCTGAAAACCACGACGTTAACGGGATCAATGTTCCCATAAGAAATTAATCAAATACGGGAGTTATGGTTCCCCAGCCTCCCTTTGCCCCATAAAATACATTACATATACAGAAATTCAATGCCATTTTTATAGAGAATGGTAGATATATAAATAAACTAAATCATTTTGTATTGTACTCAGTGATGGGTGGAGGTGGTGGAGTGAGTGTGTGGTGGTCCAGATAGTACGCACTGTTGTGGGGGTTAGACCTAGCGCAGCAGCAATGTCCACCGCACGTTCACCTTTCTCAAAATGGTTTAAAACCTCCATTTTCATAGTAAGGCTAATGATCTTATGTTGCTTCTTCACAACACTAGCATCAGTAGCACTTGATGGGCTCTTGGAAGCCTAACAAAGACTGGGGACCCTGTGACGCTCTGCAAGTGATGCGCCGTACAAAGTAGTCTGTGATGACGTTATACTGAATCAGCGGGGCGTTATCTGAATCATGGGTATCTAAAGAATAGTGACGTTATAAAGAAACAACGTTATCTGGGGCAACGTTAAATGAGGACTTACTGTAATGTATTTAAATTGTCTTGTCAATTTTATCTTATTAAAAAGTTTATACAGTACTGTAGTCAATTACATTTTATAAGACTTGAAATGTTTTGATGCATACAGAAGTGAACTTGGTTTAAAATTGGACTGTGAGAGTGACATGCTTAGTCGTAAGGTTTGAATTGGATTATTTTTTTTAACTGGGTCTGTCAGCTCTATGAATACTGCTGCTACTGATTGACTCGACTTACTGAGAGAACTTATAACCTGGTGCGGTGTGCTGGAAATATTTTGGTCATGTGTGGTATGATCAAAACCTAATGTAACCTAACCTAATATAACCTTACCTTTTATTCCGAGGGGTAATCTCAGCACGCCTCAAGCCTTCGATGATGTTTTGATTGACCTGCATACACCCAGAACATTTTCAGCACAATGTAATCTGAGCACACCACACCGGCCCGGCCTGTGCTGACGTATGTTATCACTACTTATTGGTTCCCTTGTTTAGTGTAATCAAGAAGGCAGAGCAGTGGGTGTGTCAGAGGCTGTTGATGAATGTCTTAGCACAGTCTTTTCAACTTCTACATATTTACTTAACTCATTCACAATTTTTACAATTTTATCCTAATTATTAACAATTATCATCTCTATTTTATGCAACATGGTGACACTAAACAGGAAGGAATATTTTAAGAGAATTTGGAATCCAAAATTATAAAGCCTTAGGGTTAGTTCCAGTGAGTACTTTATGTTATTTCAGTGTTGGAGAAAGTTGTCATGGTATTTCAACAAGTTTCAGCCTTGAAGCAACATTTTGTACTGTTGGGGTGTTTTTATGACTGCTTAAACTTTCCAGTGTTGAGGTTCATCCGTACTTGGCATGCTTAGTTGTTTAAGGGTATACGGTATCTGGGTAATTTTTATATTAATATTTTAACTCGAGCAACGTGGGAAGTTGAGACAGAATTGTGTACTGTATTAAAAGCTTTGAAAACAATTTATTAATCTCCCACTCACAGTAGGGAGGTTTCACTTGTAGAGACAATTTATATAATGATAAATTTTTTTTAATGATACTTAGTTTCTCACTGATTATTTGTAAAGATGTTTTTTAGAACAACTGTATTAGTATGTACTGTATTATGTTTTACCTGTATACAGTAGCTACAGGTATTGATAAAGTTCAGAATTAGCTTTTAATGTACATTTTAGTCTGATTTATTTTGACAGATGTTATACCTGTATAAGTTAACAAAGTGGTGTTTCTGTCGGTAACGTTGCTCCAGAGGGTGAAACAAAGGTGGCATCTCATCGCTGGTACACACGAGATTTACCAAATGTAATACAGTACTGTGTGTCGGGGCGGATGGTAAGAAGCAACCTGGGGATGTCCAGGGACTACACCGGGCAACTGTAGTATTGATTGACCTATGAGAGATACATGACACATTAAATATGACAAATGTAAAGGAGAAATTAAACTTCTGCTGTAGAAGATGAAATAGAAGAGAACTATCTGGTGGTCTCAGATTCACTCCCGTGGATGGTTAGGTTGTATCTTCATGTTCAAGTATTTTATGGTACAGTAACATGTCAAGGCTGTATTAAAAACATATTTTGCTGTTGTAAAAGTTAGTAATGACAACATAATTAGTTGCTGTAGGGTTTCATATTATATTTACTGTACTTGTTTGTGTTGAGAGATTCATTGGTTCAGTTAAACAGTCCTCGTAGTACACGGGCTTATGAATGTGACTCAAATATTTCCCCGACTAGCTCCCTGATGCCACACCCAAAAATACCATATGGATGCTCTGAAGTCTTCCCTTATCAAGCCCGACCGGCTAATAAGCTGACAAGTGGCCAAGACGATAAAGTGAAGAGCAAATGACCAACTGTAACCCAATATGATTCATTACTACTATTTGTGCATACTGCTATTTATCCAATATGTTGAAGAAGACAATGTTTCAGTGTAATAATCAAACAAAAATGGTCATCTTTTGTTTTCATGAATTTGTTTGTAAATATTTAAGGTATCCAGAAAAACAATTTTAGTTAACAAGGTTTTAACTAGATACTTTAGGTAATTAACAATACTGTACCTGCATTTACTATCATGATCTGTTTATGTACAAGTTGCAAGTTGAATTTACAGTACTGCCTTATTTTCTAACTTATGCTTTATATTGTTCTATTCCTGTGGGACACGTTATGATCTTAAGTATACAGAGGAATTCATTACAGGTCTTTTTGTAGTGTTATGCTAAATAAGTTAGGCCATTGAGCATGTCTGACATTGATAATTTTACCGGTACAATATTGAACAAGGTGCTGTCTACAGTACTCTGCTGATATTTCAAATTACTGTAATCATAAAACAAAACTGTCTCGGAGTGTTCAATACAGTGTTTCCATCAATGTCTGACGGGTGACTCACCAGCTGATGCAGACTCGAGTACAAACAGATTATAATTTATAGTGCTGTTGCACTTGGGTGGACCACTTCACCCGACCACTCCACAAAGCCCCGATAAGCTGCCTGGTGTAATATGGTAATTAATGGAGTCATTAACGTAAATCCTGTAAATGAGTTTGATATTAAAAACGACTAAAACAAGGATGTGTAGCCAGATTTACTATACAGTATGACTGATCTCTTTACAATGTAAAATGTAACATTAAACTTATATACAGTACAGGGAGATGTGGTCATGGTGCTTTTCATTCATATGTCTTTTGAGAAATTTCTGGCAAAAAAGTAACATTTATACAGAAGCTCTACATACATAGGTGATGAACCCTGTTGATTTTGGTCATGGTAGTATAGTACATATATGTTCCAATAGGCCTCTACATTGTCTGCACATCTTATCAAGTTCCTGAAAACTAAGATATCCTTTAATAAGTGTAGTGGAATAAATTTGACTACTGTAGTTTCAACGATGTTTGTTAGTTAATTTTTTTTTTTTCATTCTTAGTTTGAGAGACCAGGTCTTACTGGTGAGTTTGTGTAGAGGTTTGTCTTGATTAATTGTACAGTACACAATGTGTAGGTAATTGATACTTGAGTTTATTACTGGTGAATTTCAGTAAAATTCATACTGTAAGCTGTCTCTATTATAAATTGTTATCTAGTATGTCAAAGTATTGTACTGTATCGTATTCTCTGCCCATAGATGAGCTACTGTACATTATATGGCTATCAATAGTTATAAAGATCAAACTGTGAGTGGTTCAGAAATCATTAATAGTGGTAAAGTGATCATACAGGGTTTATTATAACAGATCATTACGTGTCCTTACTGAGTAACTTTGTGTCCTTGACCTAAAATGACCTAACCTTTGTTTTGTTTTTGTCTCTTCGTAACACACAGCAGCCCTCAAATATACTTTTGCAAGTGACCGTGAGATGCAAAACCTGAATTCCATTCTGAAGATGTGACAAACTATTTATTTCCAAATGTATTTTCACATAATTTACCTTATAGAGATCTGAGGAGTAGAATAGTATGCCTCTGTCAATCCTGTTTTTAGTGAATTCTTTTAATCAGTCGACCACTGTTCCAGGCATACTACAGCAAGATGCACCCAAACACCCTCGAGAACTTCTGTTGTTAACTTTTCGCCGAAGTAATTTTCATAAACAAATAAATAAATAGTACTCAGCATGTCCATTAATGTTGCTAGACGTGTTTTTGTTCCCATTTTATGACAATAAATCTGTGATTCCAATTTTTTTTCATTGGTCCAAACTTTTCCCCTGCTGTACACCACCTCCATTCTACCTCAGTGTGCCAGCTGAATCACATGCCAGAGGTGTTTGTTTCATTTATTGTTTGTTTACTTGCTTGTCTAGGTAACATCTCAGGCATTTTTTGAGGTAAGCTGAAATTTGAACAAAGTAGCTTTAGCAAAAATGTTTTATCTTAGGTTTTGACTCATTGTACAGTGCACCACTAACTCCAGTCCTTTCCCAGGGGCCATGCAAAGTGTCGGGTGTGAATGTTGAACCTTCTACTGCTTACAGTACTGTATTATCTTTCACGTCTCCGTTTTAGTGTTGGGTGAACCGAGAGGACATAGGAATTTCTAGGGGCGGTGGAGCCCCCAGGGGCCTTTTAAAGGTACATTAATTCGTTATTTACTATGGCAAACAAATTTAAAGGTTTTCAATAATATGTATACAGTCAACCCTCACTTTACGTGGTCCCACATTCCGCGTTTCCACGGTGCCCTGCCGGAACCCAGGATGCTCACATTCCGCGGTGCGTGTACCCCTTTACGCGGAGAGCGGTTGGCGAGCCGCGCCATTTTTGGATCCAAACCTCCCGTCATCTCTCCCGCCCTCCGCCATGTTGTGTAAGCGGCGCGAGCATGGTGCGCACAAGGTCGCCCAGTCCTCAAAACATTACCAGTTCTTCACCCGTCACCCACCACAGCCGGCCCAAGTCAGTGATAGTGATAATTATAGTGAGGATGTGGACTTATATGGACTTTGAGGGGTTTGACAAAAAGAGGCAAGCCTCTCGGTGGATGGTGACAAGTGATATACAGGTGAGGGCCATCTGCCCTCTGCCCTCGGAACCAACCGCCCATCCCCCGTGTGCCCAGCCATCTTTTCTACTAATGTAAGTGTTAAAAAATCTAATATTATTGATATTTCTCTTAATTATTAATTGTGTGTGCATACCATCATAAAGTTAAGATAATATTTTTACTACAACATAGTTGTGTGTCGTCAAAAAGTGGAGTTTGGGGGCCGGCCCGGTCTCTATTTCAATTAATCCCATATGTTATGTTGTTCACTTTACGCGTTTCTCGCTTTCCGCGGTACCCTGTGGGTTATATTAACCGCGTAAAGTGAGACCCAACTGTATAGTATTGGGAAATTAAAAGATTATAATTGCCACTGGCTACCAGACTGACTATTTTATCTAACCAGCTATGATCTGGATGATTATTAGGCCTTGTGATGAACATTGGCAAAGACCTCGACCCCCCCCCCCTTTCCCCCCAATTCATATTTTTCTCTTCGGATTTGCGCTATTCACTTAGATCAACTTGGATATTCCAAAAAAAAGTCGGAATTCCAACAAATTTGAAAAATCACACTCATGATCCACCTATATGACTGATGATAAATATGTGGAATAACCAACTTAAATAAAGTCACTTAATTATAAGAACAATTCATCTTTGACAATATTCATTGCAGAATTAGTAGGTATAACTTGTAATATTTGATTAGCTGAATGCTAACATGATGTGTGATAGGTACACAAACAATTGGAGTGGACTATTTACTGGAATTTGTTCCTAAAAGTTTAACTATTTACTTAATATACAATATAGCATTAATTTATGGTAAGATTGCTGTCAAAATAACAATATTTTGAAGTTGAACTGAATTTATATAAAATTCCAGATTTATTTGTAAAATTCCCTGGCTTTTCCAATCCCAAATAAAATTCCTTGCCTTTTCTAGATTTTCCAGACCAGTAGACACCCTGTTTATGTGTAACTTGGATATTACATGCATACTGTGGCACCATTAATCAAAACAACCTGACTGGCCGTAATTACTATATACCTAATCACCCTGGATCTTTTTTCTTTTTTTTATCATCTAACATAGGGTTGATCATAGCAATACCATGCACTAAACAAATTGTCAATTCGTGTCCATTTTACTATAATATTGATTGAACTTACAGTATGGTAGCTGGAAATGAAGGCTCAGGAGACTTGTTTACACATGATGACTGGTACATGTAAAGTTTGTCCATTGAGCTTCCAATATGTGGTACAGAGATCCCTTGGTGCAGCATTTGGCTCATATGACAGTACTTTTTTATACAACCAGCAGGTCCTTGCATATGTAGTGTGATGCATATATTTTTCTTTTACAAAATATAACATAGGTACAAATATTTAATACAGGGTATTTGTTATGCATTATTATTATGTGAGTTAAGATTTAATATACAGTACTGGTAATGTCGATGAAAATACACTTGAGTTTCTTTCTTCCCAGTATTACAGTGAAGATAATGGTGCCGAGATTAGTTGACCTGTTCACATATAGCAGGAAAAGAACCTTCACAATCATAGTTATAAAAATAGAAGAAGTTGGTATGGCTCATGTAGACACAGTTCAAGTCTGTGCCAGAAGTAGGCTGCTGCTCGTCATTATAGTAGCCCCAGAATGGAGTTCCTCTTTTCACTTTACTCCCATCAAGCCAACGATAGTCATCCTCAACCTCCGAGTCCGAGGCGCCAATCCAGTAGTGATGGTGGTCCAGACCTGAGAAGGCATCAGAGGCACCAAGAAAATCAGTTCTTTATAAGAAAAAAAAGAGGATAAAGGGACAGACTGTAGAAAAGATGGATGGGGTTGTTGAGATCTAGAGTTCCGGAACTTCAGAGGACAATGGCAAAAACTAAGGACTTCACACAATGATCATTCTCTACTAGCACTAATGCAAGTTTACCAGATGTATTTAATGTTTCTTATAATCTTTCAATGTCTTCCAGTAGGTCATATACAGTAATTGGGAAGTGAGAGGGCAATACTGTAATAGAATATCACAGTCATAACTAAAATACATATGATCAAATCTTCCCATTTTCCATGATGAAAATTTCTCTTATTCGTTGCTGAAATCCTCCCGTTTTTTATGATCTAATCTTCCCATTTTCTATGATGTAATCCTCCCATTTTGTTTATGACAACTTTCTGTGTTCTATGACAAAATTTCCCCGTTTTCTATGCTGAAATCTTCCCGTTTTTCATGATAGTCTCTGGTGTCCAAAACACTCAAATTTGACTGTGAAGTGGTTCTTATATATCTGTCAACATGAATTTGAGTATTGGTATGTACAAACTGGACAATTATGTGATTAAGAAGATTTGTAACCAGGTGAAAGGGTTGGGTCATCTTACCATTTGATCTGAATACGGACACCTTCTGTCCCTAGGGATTTGATCTCCTTTACTGTATACATTAGCCTTGTCAATATTTACTCCTTGATCTTTACCCACCCCTAAAGATGTGAATTACACGAAAGTGCTTAGTAATGGCATGGTAATTTTGTGATTAAGAAGATTAGTAAGGGTTGGGTCACTCCCCTTTAACTTGAATATTGTGGACACCTGTTGTCCCTTAGGGACTAGATCTCACTCTCATCTACTGTCTATATTAGCCTTGTCAAGTATTACTCACCCCTGAAGATGTGAATTACACGAGTCCATATAGCACTCGTACTTCCACATACAAACATGCCTCATTAGTTGGGAATCGAACCTTGGACCTCTCTGTGAACAGGAATTGCTACCACCGCACCGCAAGGACAACAAAAGCAATCCTATGCTTTGTTATATTCAACACAAAGCCTGTTCATCGTGCTTGTTAGGCACCGTGAACCTCCACTGGGGATTGCCCGTGCCAACTGTGTGGTTGGAGTAGCATTTTACCGAATCCAGTTAGGAAACACCAGGTTACATATAATTTTCTCATCAGTCCTTATAGCACGTGATCCCTGTTCACACGCAGAGAACCAGGGTTCGATTCCCGACTAGTGAGGGATTGGCTAAAAGTATAACTCAAAGAAACTAAAAAACACTATAAACTGTTGATGAACCAAGGTTTTCAATAATTTATACATCATTTTCTCTCATCTTTCTTGTTCAATCTTCTTACGTATGTCCAAACGCGCAATTGAAGTGCAGTAACAACATTACAACAAAGTGCTGTCGTACAAGGATGTTTTGCTCATGAGGAATCTAGATTTTTAGGGCAAATTTAGATTTGAGTAAACTTTGGGATCAGAATAAGCCGAGGATACTGACATGATTAAGTAGATGACCAGGTTCTTTTGTGATTTTGTTCATTTCTCTGTTTATCCGCATCAAAGTCGTGTTTCACCATTATGATGATGTCATCTCCTGCAGTTGATCATATTCTTAATAAAGTTTCTTATTATATGACTCACCATTCTCTATGATGTACTGAATTAGGTAATACATGAAGTTGTCGGTGTCAACCTTGGCTAGTTGACCTCCAGCCTCGTGACACAAGTTGTTCATTTCGTCCCACGTCCCACACTACATGTGGTAGCACATGTTAAATACCACATACTACATTTGGTAGCACATGTTAAATACCACACACTAGATGTGGTAGCACATGTTAAATACCACACACTAAGTGGTAGCACATGTTAAATACCACACACTAGATGTGGTAGCATATGTTAAATACCACACACTACATGTGGCAGCACATGTTAAATACCATACACTACATGTGGTAGCACATGTTAAATACCACACACAACATGTTAAAGGCAAGCTCTGGTGTGTGTGTGTGTGTGTGTGTCAAGACCAGGCTGCTGCAGATTTAATAGTTCATTGCACACTAATGCCAGTTGCATAAGTCCTTGATCAGTCTGCCAGGCACTAAATGACGATACAGTATGCTTAATAAAGTCCAGAACCTTGACGTTTGTGCACCAAATTATCCTCGTGAGCAGATATATAAATGGTACATTGTATACATTCTGCGTTGCTTATGTCTTGTTAATCCACATGCAGTACTTAGAAAATATGAAGGAAAAGAATACATTACAGGACACTATTGAGATAAGTACAGTAGGATTGATTAGTACAGTACATTACATGAAAGCCCAGGTAAGCTGAACCAAAATACGAAAAGTGTACCACATCCAGGTAAGAATTTAATTGATTTTATCACTGATGTACAGTTGCCTGCACTTATACCTACGTGGTACAGTGGCTGCATTCTGGGTTGTAGGTTTAGATTACATTGTTTTTCAAGTTGGGATGCTAATGTATTATTGCTTGAGGCTGTACTGCATATGTTTATTTTACAACAATATAAATGGGATGGATATACACTATACAGTATCTCACTTTATTGACAACACAAACCAAATAGAATATGTATTTCTCCCTTTTTTCTTCTCTGGTTTTAATTTAACTTTTCCACCCAGCTTTATTGCAGTTGTCAACTATCACAAAGTTTAAAGATTATAGTGTGTGTGTGTGTGTGTGTGATTCTTATCAGAACATTCAAACATGTAATGTATTTCGGCCTTATCCACCCTGAATTATATATATTTTCAAGACTGAAAGCTGAAACTTAGTCTTTTTATTACTGTTTTCTATTTGTTGTGGACATCATGAAGAATAAGTCTACCTGCCCATTGCTTTGATGTTTTCTTAACTTATATTTATCTACTTAAGTCCCTTATTTTTGTTATTTCATGTGCTGTACAACATGGTATTGCCTCTTCTTTTATTTGAGGAACATCATTGTTCGTGAATAATTAAAAATGTATTAGCAGACAATCATGTATATTTCTGCAATGGCTGCTAAGAATAAATATGTATATAGCTTATGACAGGAGTCTACGCGAAAGACATGCTCGTTCTCTAGACAATAACTCGTTTTCTATGATGACCTTAAATATTCATGACAAAATTAAGTCAAGAGATGGCGCAGCTGTCAGGGGCTGAACGTTAATTGAATGTAGTACAAGTTTCTCTATATATTCCTTCCTTGGTATAACACACAAATGTGACGTCACCAACAAGCCATTTGCCTGAGTGAGCCGTGAGGGAAGGACCTGAAGTGACTGGCTGTTGTGTGGTGATTCAATTTTTAGTATTTTTATGTCAAGTTATTCAAACACAAGCTTATGTCGCTACTGTCCTCTGTTGTGAGTAAATTGTTGGTATTTTTATTTTCATAATTAAGTTACACGTGATGTTAGAGAGTTGGTTTACCACCGCCATGGTAGTTTGTCAACCCAAGTAGTTACTGAGAGTTTTATTTCGTCATCAAGTGGAAATTTAGGTGAAGATACTTTATGGAAAGGTAATTGTGAAGATAAACTCCGCCATTTTATTTATTATGTTACCTTGGTATTAGTGTAGTTTATATTGGTGTTTGTTGTAAGAAATAATTCGTTGCCGTCGACGATTTGGTGAATTGACAAAAATTAAAAGGGTTAAAATTCGTTTTTATCCCAATAGGCATTTCAGATTTTGGTTATTATAAGGACTAACCTGTCAGGGCTGCATAGCGCCGATGCGGCCGTATCATCGCATGTTCAGAAAATGCCTCAAATTTCACCATATCATAGTGGCCTGTGTAGGATCCCGCCATTGTTCTTCATATTCTTGTATAGGGCAGTTTTGAAACCCAGTTCTGTTCTCTCGATTCCACGGTTTGAGCTGGTAGACTGTTCCATAAGTCTACCAGCCTCTGTGTGAAGAAATATTTCCCTATATTTGTCCTGCACGATAACTTGGTGAACTTATTAGTAATGTCCCCTCGTGTTGGTGATGCAGAACATCATAAGAAATGGCCCAGGTTAACATTTTCCTTCCCATTCATGACTTTTAATGTCCCTATGAGATATACCATTTTGTGCGGTCCGACTAATTACCCAAATGTAGCCAAATGTAGCCGCAATGAAGTCAAATGATGGTCGTACAAGCGTAATTCGGGCTGTGAATCACTTCTCGATTATTATTTGGTGTCATAAAGTCACAAAAAATTGGTAAACTTAATTTAATCTGAGTTGTGTTGTGTTAGGTTAGGTTAGGTTAGGTTAGGTTAGATTAGATTAGATTAGGTTAGGTTAGGTTAGGTTAGGTTAGGTACATGCACTTGATTTATTAACTCAGATTAAATTAAGTTTACCAATTTTTTTTTGACTTCGTGACACCAAATACTAGTCGAGGTTAGGTTAGGTTAGGTTAGGTACATGCACTCGATCTATTAACTCAGATTAAATTAAGTTTACCAATTTTTTGTGACTTTGTGACACCAAATACTAGTCGAGAAGTGATTGACAGTCCGATTTATTCATCTAGGACCATTATTTGACTTCATTGCGACTACATTTGGGTAATTCCTCGCTCCGTCGGTACATGCACGCGATCTATTAACTCAGATTAAAGTAAGTTTTCCATTTTTGTGTGACTTTCTGACACCAAATACTAGTCGAGAAGTGATTGGCAGTCCGATTTATTCATCTAGGACCATTATTTGACTTCATTCCGGCTATATTTGGCTACATTTGGGTAATTAGTCGGACCCCATTTTGTGTCTTGTTCGAAGAGTTGTTAGTCCTTAGGCGCTCAGTCTACGTGGATAATTGAGATGATGTAGTTCAGGAATCATTTTAGTCACTCTGTGTTGCACCATTTATATGAATGTTAAGTCTTTCAGGGGGTAGAGTTTCTGTGCCTAAATACAGTAATTCAAATGGGGACCTACGTGATACTTATAAGGTTGAAGGAGCCTCTTCTTGGCTTTATATTTGAAGGTCCGACTTATAATTCTTAAATCTTGGTTAGCTTTTTTCATTGCTGCCCCCACTTGTTGTGCTGCCTTCAGTGGTTGGTTTATCACAATGCCTAGATCTGTTCCTTGTCAACAGTGTCCATGAAAGTGTTGTGATTAGGGTTGTTGTACCCTACATGCAGAGTCTTACATTATATAATGATATAAAGCCTATGCCAGTCATGCAACCATTTGCACAGCTCCAGCAGATCTTTTTGCATGATTGTGACATCATCTTGACTTGGTGCCTTCCCAAATATCTTTGGGTTGTCCACAATCTTGACAATATGGTAATATACTGTCATCTATGTCATTAATGTAGGTCACAAATAGGGTGGGTCCAAGGACAGAACATTTTTCTCAATTGAATTTTCCCTATTTAATACCACCCTTTGAGCCAACTGCACAGTCATTTCAATATATTGCCTGTGATTCCTTGTGTCTGGATCTTAGAGGCTAGTCGTGCATGTGGGACATGTCAAACATCTTAGAAAAATCCGTATACAACCCATCCACTGGTAGACCTTGGTCCACCTACCCTGTTACCTTTAGAAGGAAAGTGAGTAGTGTATAATGCACACCTACAGTGGTTTATTCTCGTACTGTATTGTGGTTGTAAGAGCCTTCCGGGCGTTTAAAGGTTAATCAGACTCTTCACGTTAAACTCGAACATTATAATTCGGTCAAACCTGTTGAATACAATTCATTTTAGTATTTCAAATAAATCATACATAAATTTTTAATCCAATATATATTTACATAACAATCATAGCTATGTAATTAGTCTCATCTTAACACTTACAATGAGTACTTAATTTGCCATATTTCTATGTTGTCACAATGATAACGATTCAATGGACACAGTCTACCTATATAAACAATAAGTACAATTTAAACTTACGTGTTGAAAGTCTCAAGAGAAACAGGTTAGGTGTTGGCTCTATGATGGTGATAGCTACAGTGCCAGTGCCCAGCCCTGGCTGGCCGCCTTGGCTGCGTCAGGCGTCTATACACAAACAAGCTCCCCTTACTACCACCCAACCACCTTTGGGTTTCTCCATCTCCACCCTCTCAATAATCAATATACTGTATATACTCATTACTGCTTGCGGTATCAGTGATAGTACATATTTCAGATGTAAGCAAACATATTAATCATACCAATGTGTTTCAGATGCAGTGGCTCATTATGCAAGATGGTGGACAAGACCATCATGATGATTATAATGCTTAAGGATCTGTTAACCAAAATTTGATATCTTGATTATTACTTGTTCAAATAGCTTTTAGAAAATGTTCAAATGATTTTTAGAATATTTTAATTACTTTTGCAATGCTAATTACTCGCCATTTATGGGTTTTCGAGGTCATTTCTTGGTGCTTGTGTATTATTCTGGATGTACTTAAATAGTTAGGCACATTAAATTTTAGTTCAGAGAGAAAAAGTATTTTTGGCCAAAAATCCTTTAAGGCTATAGACTTACAATTTTCGTCATTTCGGCCAAAAAAATGGATTTTGTTCAAAATTTCAGTATAGGTACTCCTGAATGTGCTGCTTAAGGATCTGTTAACCAAAATTTGATATCTTGATTATAACTTGTTCAAATGGCTTTTAGAAAATGTTCAAATGATTTTTAGAATATTTTAATTACTTTTGCAATGCTAATTACTCGCCACTTATGGGTTTTTGAGGTCATTTCTTGGTGCTTGTGTATTATTCTGGATGTACTTAAATAGTTAGGCACATTAAATTTTAGTTCAGAGAGAAAACGTATTCTTGGCCAAAAATCCTTAAGACTTACAATTTTTGTCATTTTCGGCCAAAAAATGGATTTTGTTCAAAATTTCAGTATAGGTACTCCTGAATGTGCTGCTTACGGATCTGTTAACCAAAATTTGATATCTTGATTATAACTTGTTCAAATGGCTTTTAGAAAATGTTCAAATGATTTTTAGAATATTTTAATTACTTTTAAATGCTAATTACCTGCCATTTATGGGTTTTCGAGGTCATTTCTTGGTGCTTGTGTATTATTCTGATGTACTTAAATAGTTAGGCACATTAAATTTTAGTTCAGAGAAACGTATTCCTGGCCAAAAATCCTTTAAGGTTTTAGACTTCAATTTTGGTTATTTTCGGTCAAAAAAATGGATTTTGTTCAAAATTTCAGTATAGGTACCCTTGAATGTGCTGCTTGCATGATCTGTTAAATCAAAATTCTGATATCTTGATTATAACTTGTTCAAATGGCTTTTAGAAAATGTTCAAAATGATTTTAGAATATTTAATTACTTTTGCAATGCTAATTACTCGCCATTTGGTGGGTTTTCGATAATATTTCTTGGTGCTTGTGTATTATTCTGGATGTACTTAAATAGTTAGCAATACTAAATTTTAGTTCAGAGAGAAACGGGGTATTCTTGGCCAAAAATCCTTTAAGGCTTTAGGACTTACAATTTTTGTCATTTTCGGCCAAAATGGATTTTGTCTGTAAAATTTCAGTATAGGTACTCCTGAATGTGCTGCTTAAGGATCTGTTAACTAAAATTTGATATCTTGATTATAACTTGTTCAAATGGCTTTTAGAAAATGTTCAAATGATTTTTAGAATATTTTAATTACTTTTGCAATGCTAATTACTCGCCACTTATGGGTTTTCGAGGTCATTTCTTGGTGCTTGTGTATTATTCTGGATGTACTTAAATAGTTAGGCACATTAAATTTTAGTTCAGAGAGAAAACGTATTTTGGCCAAAAATCCTTTAAGGCTTTAGACTTACAATTTTTGTCATTTTCTGCCAAAAAATGGATTTTGTTCAAAATTTCAGTATAGGCACTCCTGAATGTGCTGCTTAAGGATCTGTTAACCAAAATTTGATATCTTGATTATAACTTGTTCAAATGGCTTTCAGAAAATGTTCAAATGATTTTTAGAATATTTTAATTACTTTTGCAATGCTAATTACTCGCCACTTATTGGTTTTCGAGGTCATTTCTTGGTGCTTGTGTATTATTCTGGATGTACTTAAATAGTTAGCACATTAAATTTTAGTTCAGAGAGAAAACGTATTTTTGGCCAAAAATCCTTTAAGGCTTTAGACTTACAATTTTTGTCATTTTCTGCCAAAAAATGGATTTTGTTCAAAATTTCAGTATAGGTACTCCTGAATGTGCTGCTTACGATCTGTTAAATCAAAATTTGATATCTTGATTATAACTTGTCTAAATGGCTTTTTAGAAAATGTTCAAATGATTTTTAGAATATTTTAATTCCTTTTGCAATGCTAATTACTCCCCACTTATGGGTTTTCGAGGTCATTTCTTGGTGCTTGTGTATTATTCTGGATGTACTTAAATAGTTAGGCACATTAAATTTTAGTTCAGAGAGAAAACGTATTTTTGGTCAAAAATCCTTTAAGGCTATAGACTTACAATTTTCGTCATTTCGGCCAAAAAAATGGATTTTGTTCAAAATTTCAGTATAGGTACTCCTGAATGTGCTGCTTAAGGATCTGTTAACCAAAATTTGATATCTTGATTAAAACTTGTTAAAATGGCTTTTAGAAAATGTTCAAATGATTTTTGAATATTTTAATTACTTTTGCAATGCTAATCACTCGCCACTTATGGGTTTTCGAGGTCATTTCTTGGTACTTGTGTATTATTCTGGATGTACTTAAATAGTTAGGCACATTAAATTTTAGTTCAGAGAGAAAAGGTATTTTTGGCCAAAAATCCTTTAAGGCTTTAGGACTTACAATTTTCGTCATTTTGGCCAAAATGGATTTTGTTCAAAAAATTTCAGTATAGGTACTCCTGAATGTGCTGCTTAAGGATCTGTTAACCAAAATTTGATATCTTGATTATAACTTGTTCAAATGGCTTAGAAAATGTTCAAATGATTTTGTGAATATTTTAATTACTTTTGCAATGCTAATTACTCGCCACTGCGGGTTTTTCGAGGTCATTTCTTGGTGCTTGTGTATTATTCTGGATGTACTTAAATAGTTAGGCACATTAAATTTTAGTTCAGAGAGAAAACGTATTTTTGGCCAAAAATCCTTTAAGGCTATAGACTTACAATTTTCGTCATTTCGGCCAAAAAATGGATTTTGTTCAAAATTTCAGTATAGGTACTCCTGAATGTGCTGCTTAAGGATCTGTGTTTATTTATTTTTTTATTTTTTAACAGTCTGTTATCATTGCTGGGTTTAGACTTGGCAGGGGTTGAGACCATTGACTGTGACAGCCCCCCCCCCCCCAAAAGTCTATCTGGCAGACTGGTACTGTACTTAGTCCATGACTCAGGTCAGGGTTGGGTTTTGTATTTTTTTTAATTATGACACCACTTACACTTTGTAATTATTTTATTTTATTTCCACAAAAGTATCAAAGCAACAATTCACAAATAAGGTTCATAAACATTATTGTTCTTACATTTTACACACTTACAATTGTTTGTCTTTCTAACTTTGGCTACCGGTATGCTAAATTTTCTGATAATACTTTCAGTGTGACCACCACCACCAGATGAATGAGGCATCGCCACCACCATCAGATCGCAGGAGGCTACATCACTACCAACAACACTAAATGACTTAGCTGACGGGGCGTTGGAGGGCTGACCACATTATTACAGTAGCACCAGCTCTGTAGACCACACACTACAGTAGCTCCAGCTCTGTAGACTACACACTACAGTAGCTCCAGCTCTGTAGACCACACACTACAGTAGCTCCAGCTCTGTAGACCACACACTACAGTAGCTCCAGCTCTGTAGACCACACACTACAGTAGCTCCAGCTCTGTAGACCACACACTACAATAGCTCCAGCTCTGTAGACCACACACTACAGTAGCTCCAGCTCTGTAGACCACACACTACAGTAGCTCCAGCTCTAGACCACACACTACAGTAGCTCCAGCTCTGTAGACCACACACTACAGTAGCTCCAGCCCCAGACCACACACTACAGTAGCTCCAGCTCTGTAGACCACATACTACAGTAGCTCCAGCTCTGTAG